CAAACACGCTCAAATTTATATACCATCAATGTCATGATATATGAGGAGGATTAAGCTAGCAATTTCGGTCTAATCATGCGTGCAACTAAAAATCCGATTTTAAGGCATTTAACTCTTAAAATTCGAAACTCATGAAATTTCACGTGCATGGCTTGATTTTTCTTCATGATAAATCATAAAATATCATGAATAAGCTGAGAAAAAGTATAGCTCGAGCTAACCTTCACCGAAAATGGAAAATCGCTACTAGGGCCAAGACTCGGGCTAGGCGCGGCTTAGGGAACTAGGACTTGGCTCGGGGTGAAATTTGCTGAGCTTGGTTGAATGGAAAAGCTTAGAATACTCCAAGGAATTCTTTGGACCAGGTTAGCCTTGGTGGAATATGGCTAGAACTCGTTGCACCTCGGTGGACTCCCTTCTCGGCCTTGGCTCGCGCGGGTAGGGGCTAAGGGGTGGCTCTCGGTGTTTATCTTGCTCCTCTCAATATATGCGAGTATTTAAGTGTCCAAGAGCTGCAAAGAGGCTGAGGAATGACCCTTATATAGGCTGAGGGGCGGAGTGCACAAGGTGTGGTCATGGAAGACCAAAATGAGTGGAATTTCTCCATCCCATGCTTATGAAAGTTGGAGCCAAGGTCTTGGGTGGACTTAGCACGTTTTGCATGGTCTTCAAGGTGGTTTTGCAGAGCATGAGGAGTCCTTAATACATGCAGCATTGGGTCTTGGGTGAAAGTAGGCCGAAACTAAGTCAGCTGGGGTCAAGAAATTGGGTTGCCACTGCTGGCACTGGGCCTGGGCGCACTGGCCTTGGGCGCGCTGGGCCTAGGCACTACTCGCGTGGAATGACTTGGGCTGAGGCTAATGCTCCCTCTTGTGATAAAAAACACTTAGAAAATTTATACTAATGATTGGCTAAAACTTGGGCATGGTCTTGAGCATGGCACGGACCTGGCTCGGGCCTTGGGCGCGGGAAGGCTTGGCATGGGTATGGCCTTGGCACAAGCGACTTAGGCAAAGGCTAAGGTTCGAGAATGAGGGTCTAGGGCTTGAACTTGGATACTTAGAATAATTTCTAAGTAATTTCTACTAAGGCTAGTGCTCAGGAAATGCTTAGCCATGACTTGTTAAAATACTCAGGTCGAGACTAGGGTTCAAGGCCAAATAAATTCTCGAGTTGAATAGCTATTACTTATCAATGCAAATTAATGGATTGATCTTGACCTTAACATGACTAAGAAAATTTGAAAGAATGATCTATCATACTTAGGAAATAATCTAACATAATTGAGCATTTACCATACAAAACATAACTCTGATATTTTTGAAAAATACGGGTTTCACTTATAGTCGAGCAGTGAAACCGTTCTTCATATTATTACTAATTCGGGGCGTTACAATAACCGTTCTTATTCTAATTCTATGAGAGTTCCAAATTTCACAAAGTGTTTCGAAAACCCTTAATTAATTTATTTTGATTAAGTGGAAAAATTTATGTGTTTTCTTTAAAGTGAGATAATTAAGTGATGAAAAATTATCTTACTTAATGTAGATTTTGGAGGAGTGGATCCCTCAAATCTACCGTGATTCATTTGTATTCACGTTTATCCAAACATCAGGTGGGTGTTGATAAATTTTACTGTGCAGTTATTCTTTATAATCGCTAGATCCTATAATTAATGTATGTATGTGAACCCTTGGCCTAATGAGAGGCGATGTCCATTTGCCTAATGAGAGGCATTCGGTTTGGCTCTTATCGATGAGCGTCTAATGAATGGCGACTCCGACAGTAATTTTGCTCCTGTTGACAAGCGCCTAATGAATGGGGAATCCGACAATATAAGATGTGCACATGAGACATGAGACTATAGAATGATTGGAGATAATTGAGTTATGATGATTTATGTTTATGCTGCAATTATATTATCTGTTATTATATCGAATATATTGAATAGTAGTTCCCACGGTGAGCTTGTTGGTTGCTCAGCCCAATTATTTCTATCCTTTTAAGTTTGAGCTGGGGGCCGTGTCAAAGGACGGACGAGTATGGTCATTTACTTTGTCATCAACCTATTGAACTGCTTCCGCTTGTTTGTTTTCAAAACTTATGTATGACCAGTTGTTTTTGGAAACTTTGAACTTGTTGAATTGATGCGATATTATTATGTTTGATTTGATTATTATCTCGTATGTTAGCTGGTGTTGTGAATTGGCAATGAGTTCCCAACAGCTTAAAATGATGCTAAGTCGAGTAAAATGAATGAATGATTTGAGTAACGCCCGTTAAATGTTTTAAGTCGAAAAATGATTTTCGAAAAATTTACTCTGATTTTCAGAAAAATTTGGGATTTTCCCTTTAAAGATAACGGGGCGTTACATAAGCAGCCCAAGTCATCACCACCTTAGGATCCCAACTGTAGCTCTATAAATACATCATTAAGCTCATGGGGTTGATGTGAACAGACAAACCTAACGTGCATAACGTTGGCCGTCCCCCTTCTCTCTCTCTAGTTTCCATAGTCGAGCTTTGTCTACATTTTATTGCTCCACCGATACAAAACAAAGAAGTGTTCGAATCATACAGTAGAAGATCTCGAGGTACCGAGACCCCATGATCATCTATCGTCGACGAGCCCCGTGACCGCCGTCCATCCACCGTCGACCACCATCGCAAAATGTAGCTACCAGCCACAGCCTTCCCAACGCAATCGATAACCGCAGCCCGCACGAAGCGGCTCGACATTCTCGCGATCCCCGGCGACCCACTGCACGCAACTCACGACGCCGTCTGCCCGCCGCAGCCGCGCGACACCTTCGCGCATTCGACGGCCCGGCAATCCGTCCAAGCTGCTCCAGACGATCTTCTCGATTCCGACGAGAAGCAATCCAGCATTCCAACAGATTTTGAGTTCAAACGATATCCTACAGAGGAAATCTACAACGACTCAGAGTCTGTAATTTTAAGCCGTAAGTTTTCAACGCTGAACCTCTAGATCCCCTACGCGTAGGTTTATTGTTGTTATTGAATTCGTAAATTGTACATAACGAGATCCTCACCGATCCCAACATTGGAGATGTTCAAACAAACGGCCATCTAGCTCGAATGCCTTAATCATGATGGATATTATCTTCAACCTCGTACTCCGGTCGACCACCCATCTAGGAAGTCTTGATCATGGTGGATTTTAGCGAATCAAATGGTGACCTACCACTGTGGTCACATGCAAACAAACCAAACATAATAATATAAAGAAACGCCACACTTTTCCATTAACATCTTCACAAGTATAATGAATTACATCGATCATTAAAAGAAAAAAATTATGCATAATATCTTTTCAGGCTTGAAACATTAAATGACCTGGGCAAAGGCCTTCCATCGATATCCTTTAATGAATATGCCCCTCCCGCGTGCATCTTCTCGACCAAATATTTCCCCTCTAAGTTGGGCTCGAGGTTGCCTACGTGTTTCAAGACGTAGATCCTTTGACATAACATGTCGCCAACCTGGAATCTCTGGATTTTGACCTTTTCATCATGTGTGGCCCGCATCTGCTATTTCTAAATCGCCACCCTAGAAGACACTTGTTCCCTTAACTCCTCGATTGTGTCCATGGTTGCTCGTAACTCCTCATTCTGCTCCTGATTATATGTGTTCGACCTTTGATATTCCAGCTCGATCTCAACCGGTAATAACGCCTCCATGCCGTATGCCAAACTGAATGGGGTTTCACCTATTGTCGACCTCAGGGTGGTCCTATGTGTCCAAAGTACAGATGTAAGCTCATCGACCCACGCCACCGAAGCCTTCTCCAACCTTGTCTTTAGTCCGTTTAGAATGATCATGTTCGTGATCTCGATGTGCCCATTGGCTTGCGGATGAGCTACTGAAGCAAAATGCTGCTCGTTCTTCATGTCTTCGCATCAAGATCGAATCCGTTTGCCATTTAACTGTGTTCCATTGTCTGAAATCAACACCTTGGGTACACCAAACCTACAACAAATACTTCCTCTGGCCCGACCCCCTGCAACATGGGCCCAACCAGGTCGATGCCCGTAGCACCCCATTCGATTTATATGAGTTATCGTATTTTTATTTTTAATCGGTTGTTGTTATCCTGTGTATTTCTCAACAAATCTCTCGCTTAAACATATTATGATTAATTGGATGGCTTCGTCTAATTAGTCTAACAAGTCATATGATTTTATTTTTCTCGTCACTAGAAAAATTGTTGGTTCGTCATCGTTCGGAAATTCTTTGTTCAATCAGGAGCATTATTGACGACCACGCCGTCAGCGATCATTTAGGTTCATCAAACATAGTCATTTGAAATCTACTATTGACGACCACACCGTCAGCGATCATTTAGGTTCATCACCACCGTGAGTCAACACCATCGGTACGAACTAGACAATTTATTTATCATATTTTCAACACATCCATTCAAAGAATGTGCAAGTAAAAAAAATTATATTTCAAAAATTTTGAAATCAAAGGATTTCAAATCCCTCAAAATAAACGGAGCCTTAAAGTTTTGGCTCCATTTTGATGCCTTCAAAATTTAAAATTTTTGAACTTGGGAGAGCTTATTTCTGGAATGCCTTGACCAGCCCTTTCTCCTCCTTATGTGCACGGTTTTGTCCCCTTAATGGAAATTGGCACAAACAACTCGAGGGATGGCAGAAAATTATGGTAAGATCCCATCAAAGTGAATTCAATTTGAAGTTCAAAAGAAACTTCGTTTTATATTATATGAAAATGTTTGATTTTTTATTTTCAAAAGAGAGCTTTGTTTTTACGGTTAGTTCTTATTAAATCCCCAATCCTTATTTCATTTTCCAGTTCAGTCCCTAAATATTTCTTTTTCCACTGCACTCCCTAATATAAACTCTCTCTTCCTCACAACTATCCATATATATACTAATATTATTATTAACCATTTACTTTTATTGAAAATCATAAGTTATTGACACAAAAAACACAGCTCACTCTCTCTCTCTCTCTCAACGACGATAATCCCAAATTTTGAAAATAGTCCCAACGTACATCTCCGTGCCGGCCACCTCTATGAAGCTCGGCCCACCACCACCTCCGGATACCAATATCATAAAGCAAACTCTATCCCAGCATCACAACTCAAAACAGGAACGCACTAAATGGTGGAATATTTCAATTTATTATTTTCCCAAATCAGAAACCCTATTTCCCACTCCTTGAAATGATATTCGCGATGTGGCATATCATATCTTTGGCCTTCTCAGTTTCAGGATCGAAAATATGAAAGCAATGGTCTTCGTCGTCAACCACCACTACCTCAATCTCACCTTTCCACCCGCTCTCCTTCACCTTCTCCGCGTAGGTCAAACCGCTCGTCGTGAGCTGGTCCTTCTCTAACTGGCAGACCATCAGTTTGAAGCATCCCAGCCCGGATAGCGTCGGGTCGGAAAGCGCGTTGATCACCTGGTCGTCGATCCCTCTGACAACCGTCGGGTGTGCGAACACCCACAGCCTATAGAGTAAGGTCTGGTCGATGCACTCTTTTGGTTTGTTTCCAATCGGGTCGGATCCCCAGAAATACGGGTGCTAAACTATTGCGCCGGCGACTTTGGTGTTTCCGGGAAGGGGATCCGACAAGATGCGCAAAGCGATGTTGTGGACTATGATGATTGGGTTCATATAATAAGGGGGAAAATGTGGAAAGTACGCTTTGGAAGTTTTGTTAATGTCCAGTTTTCTTTGAAAATCCTTGGATTTGCACTTGTAATATATATTCAAGACTTGACTACCTGATATTTGGTCCATAAGACATGGTTTTTGTTTATCTGTGAAGTTTAACTCAACTTGTACATGTACGTTTTGTGGGGTTTATCATCTATGAATGAGACGATGGGTCTGTGTAAAATATTAAAGGTTAAAATTTTGAAGTCTATACAAAAATGGTTTTGTTTAAGATTTTTACTTATATTTCGATCTATTTAAACCAAGTTACTCGAACACTGCTTGATTTGTACCTTTAGTTCTCGAGACTGGGCTGCTAAAGGTCCAATGCTACAGGTGAGTGGTATTTGTGAATTTTGGATGGTACTTTCCAGTTGATGAGTTTTAGGAATAGTTGTGAAAGCTTCTCTTGAACTCTGGCCTCAGTAAACCAAGAAAAGGGGATATTTGTAATATGTAGGTATATACCTTTGTAAGAGCTAGGAATATTGTTGACATAGAGGGGGCTCAGGCAGCACATACTGAAGAGTGTTACACTTTGGTCAACGATAAATTCTTGGCCTTTTTTGAGCATGCTTTTCCAAGTTTCGTCAACTATTATTGAGCCGTCAGATCCTGCTGATATGGATGCACTTATGAATGGCTTACGTCTATTGAACCGTGGGGACCCATTTGTCGAGTTCCTTATTTCCTTTAGAGGAGAGCATGTTGTGGCTACTGCAGGTGAAAAAAAAAATAAAAAATTATAGTTTTCTAGTATTGTAGAAAAAAAGAAAAAAAAAAAGATGTGCATGTTCCTAATGATACTAGTTTCTCTTCACATTAATACCAACTTTATGAAATAGAAGTACTCATTTTCTAGTATTTAGTACCTCCACTGTACAAAGAAAAAAAAGGATATGAAGATTTTAAGAAAGTTATTATTTTTAAACTGATACCAGTTTTTCTTCATAATAGTACCACAATTTCTTCTATGCCGTACCTCTTTTTTAACAATTAGTACCTACTTTGGTCAACGGAAATGAATTACTCAACGTTTATGAAATTAATACCATTGATAGAGTTATGCAGTACCAATTTTATGGTGGTCCAGTACCGGATATCTGGTCTCCAGTACCTACTTTGTAGAAAGAACAAAAAATGGACTACAATTTTGGTCAACATTTGCAAAACTAGTACCAGACCTAGAGTAAGATAGTACCAACTTTATGGTGTTTTAGTACCAGATATCGGGTCTTTAGTACCACCTCCGACGAACATTAAAAAAGAAGAACTAAATTTTGTAAAATAGTACCAGTTTTACCACAAATAATACCACTTCTTCTTCTATGCAGTGCCAATCAATTAGTACCTACTTTGTAGAAAGAACAAAACATTGATTACTTCAATTTTAGTCAACATTTGCAAAATTAGTACCAGACTTAGAGTAAGATAGTACCGCAAATATGGTGTTTTAGTACCAGATATCGGGTCTTCAGTACCAACTCCGACGAACATACAAACAACGAATTTGGGTCTCAACTGATGTTTACATGACCAATAGTCACTCTCACATTAGTTTCTATAAGATTTATTTTTTTTTTAATTAAGTTTAATCGCAAATTGGGCACGAACTCAACACACTAATGAACAAACACTACTAATAATGCACTACATCTCATTGAACGATACATTTCATCCCATTGAATGATCATACATGACTACTCTAAATTCTACCTATATGTTTAAAATTCAACTATTTTTTAACCAAATCAAGCGTGAGCGATCCACGTGACATGATAGACATGACAGATTAAAGAAATCAAGATTAGTAAAATGGTACCAGTTTTATAACAAATAGTACTGATAGGTCTTCTACGTAGTACCTGTTTTTAATGAATTAGTGCCTACTTTTGGTCAACGAAAATGGATTGTTCAATTTTGGTCAACATATATGAAAGTAGTACCAACGCTAAAGATAGATAGTACTCATGAAATGATGTTTTAGTACCAGATATCGGGTCTTCAGTACCAATTCCAACGAACATTAAAAAAAAACGAATTTTGTAAAATGGTACCGGTTTCTCCACAAATAGTACCACTTCTTCCTTTATGCAATACCAGTTATTGATGAATTAGTACCTACTTTGTAGAAAGAATAAAAAATGAATTACTTGAAATTTGGTCAACATTTGCAAAATTGGTACCAGACCTAGAGTAAGATAGTACCGCAAATATGGTGTTCTAGTATCAGATATCAAGTCTTCATTAACAACTCCGACGAACATAAAAAAACACCGAATTTCGGTCTCAAATGATGTTTACATGACCAATAATCATTCTCACATTAGTTTCTATGAGATTTAGATTGTGTTTAATTAAGTTTAATCACAAATTGGTCAAGACCTCAACACATGCATGAAAAAACACTACTAATACACTTCATCTCATTGAATGACACATTTTATCTCATTGAATGGTCATACATGACTACTCTAAATTCTACTTATATGTTCTAAGTTCCATAATTTTTCAACAAAATCACGCGTGAATGATCTACGTGGCATGGTAGACATGACGGATTAATGAAATCATGATTAGTAAATTGGTACCAGTTTTACCTATAATAATACCACTTCTTTTTCTATGCAGTACCAGTTCTTGATGAATTAGTACCTACTTTGTAGAAAACAAAAAATGGATTACTTCAAATTTGGACAACATTTTCAAAATTAGTACCAGACCTAGAGTAAGATAGCACCGCAAATATGGTGTTTTAGTACCAGATATCGGGTTTTCAGTATCAAGTGTGACGAACATAAAAATACATCGAATTTCAATCTCAAATGATGTTTACATGACCGATAATCACTCTCACATTAGTTTCTATGAGATTTAGAATGTGTTTAATTAAGCTTAATCGCAAATTGGTCACAAACTCAACACACTAATGAAAAAACACCGCTAATACACTTCATGTCATTAAAAGACACACTTCATCTCATTGAATGATCATACATGACTACTCCAAATTCTACCTATATCATTGAACTTCCATTATTTCTCAACCAAATCACGCGCGAACGATCCACGTGGCATGGTAGACATGGAGGATTAAAGAAATCACGATTACTAAAACGTTACCAGTATTGACAGAAATAGTACCGCTTCTTCTTCTGCGTAGTACCTGTTTTTAATCATTTAGTATCGACTTTTGGTCAACGAAAATGGATTACTTCAATTTTGGTCAACATTTGCAAAAACTGGTACCAGACCTAGAGTAAGATAGGAACCATCTTTATGGTGTTTTAGTACCAGATATCGGGTCTTCAGTACCAACTCCGACGAACATAGAAAAACACCGAATTTCGGTCTCAAATGATGTTTACATGACCAATAATCACTCTCACATTATGTAATATCCCATTCAGTAATTAATAAAAGTAATTATTCTAAGTTGAACTAATTACTTTTATTAATAATGCTCGTTCCTAGTTCCGAGCCAGTTATTAAGTTATCCAGTTACATGACCAATAATCACTCTCACACTGAATAAAAGTATTCTCGGTTAAATTTTATTCAGTAATCGAGCCAGTTCAGTAATTAATTAATTCCGGTCTGTTTATTTTTATAAATGGATTTATAAGATGGGATTAATTAATATAAGATAACGAATAATCGAAATTGAGTATAATTTTGATTAATCGTTTAAGATAAGTAGTGAACTGAACTCAAGTATGTTCGGTCATGAGTTGAACTTAATTAAGAAATAGCCGAGCCTTAGTACTAAATACTTAGATTTTTTCTAAGTGTTCAAGTCATCAAGATAAGATCATAATATTGAGCTTTAGCATAAGTTGATACAAGTTAAGTCTTGAAGTGTGGTTAAGTATCCATGAACATTTAAGTGATAAATGTTCAAAGAAGTGAGAAAATTTATTTAGACATTATAGTCTATTTAAATAATTTTAAGAGAAACCGAAATTTTTAGAATTTTCGGTTTTACAGTAATCGTTCGGTTTAAGTCCGAATGTGGTTCCGTAAATGTAGAATATTTCAAGATAATTATATTAGATCATAAGAAGAAATATGTTTATTAAATTGAAGAAAAACTGTGAGTAAAGGATTTAAATTTTAGAATTTTCAGTTTTACTGTAAACGTTCGTTTTAAGTCCGAATTGAGTTCCGTAAATGGTATTATTCTCAGTTTATTAGCATGATCCAAAGACCATATATGAGCATTACTTTTCAGTAAAAGAGTTTTAAAAATCAGCCATTTTGAAAGAAAATGCATAAGTAATAAAAAAAGATGATTTTTATTATTTTTATTATTTTGTTCCAAAAATTTTTATATGATGAATAGTGACATGTTTTCAATAATATATGGAATAAATTAGATCACATTAAGCACGAAATTTTGGTCATCAATTGGTGAGAATGAGATGAGAAAATCACAACAAAGTTTTGCTAAGTCTTTAAGTTAGCATTTTTTTTCAACAATTGGTGAGAATTTTATTAAACTTGGTGGAATAAGTTTTATCTACCAAAAAGCTCATTCATGGCTATGAATAGAGGCCATTTTTTATGATTAATTATGTTTGGATAAGAATACAAGTTAATCATAAAATAGTTTATGATTAATTAAGTTTATAAGTTTAAATTGTTTATTTTGTTCATTTCTTCACTCCATTATGATGTCTTGCCAAATTGTGCCTATAAATAGAGGCCTAAAAATCAGAGTTCTCACACCAAAGAAAAGTACCAAAAGATATATATGAGTGTAAGAGAGATAAGTAATAGAAATTGTGAAGAAGTGAAGAATCAAGTTACGATTCTAGCAAGAAGGAGGTAATTTACTTATCTTAAAGTTTTATGCTTGATTTCATGTTTTGATAATGAGTTTACATGTTTATAAGTAAGTATATCATGATTTAGAAGTTAAATTTATAATTGATTCTATGAATACAAAGAGTTAAAGTTGTTCAAGATCAATTATATGATATATGTGCTTGATTTGATAAGATGTTGATAAAGATATGAATAAGCTAGAAAAGTATGATTTAAATGAATGATTCTACATGAGAACAAGAATTAAGTGATTTGGCAAAGTATAGCTTGAGTTATGAATTTTTGAAGTTGAACATGCAAGATGAATTTTATGTTCACTATGACTTTAAATTCTAATAACTTGATGTATATGCATGCTAAAATTATGAAATTTTTATGACATGTCTAATTATGAGTTGACATTATGACTGTTAAATTTCATGATTTGAAGATGAGAAATGAATGAGTTATGATAATTACAAGGTATATATGTAAAGATGAGTATATATGCAAGAATATTCATGATATGATCAAGTTATTAAAGTGAGATTATTATGATCAATTCTCATATAAGTGATGAGCAATTTGGCAAAGTTTTAGTTTAATATGTTGAGTATATAATCTCATAAAGATTGTATTAAGTATGACATATTAATATCATGATTAAATGTTATGATTAAAGTTGAAGTATGACTTGAGTTTATTTTCACTTTCAAGTTAATTAAGTGAAAATTTAATATAAGCCAATATTTAAAATTTGGGAGATATGATGTATGCTGAATTAAGTATTTGATTGAGTAAAAGATTAAGATGAGTTTATAAATCATGTTGATGATGTTGGAAAAAGTTAAGATGTTTAATGACTTAATATTTATTTGAGACATATTAAGCGTATTGAATATCTTTAAGATTCAGATAAATAAGAGTTAAATCTTATTGAGTATACGAGCATAGTACTTAGTATATTTGTTTATATTTTTATGCAGCTTGCAGATATAGCTACCCAAGAGCAACACTTACATTTTTCAAAAGTTTTCAAAAGAAGAAAGGTGGGGACCCAGACTGGGTATTACATTGAGTATAATATTGATATCATGTTCGAGGTATGTATACAGTTTAAGTTTATACTCTTGGGATGAGGAGGCATTCAGTTGTCTCAAAGTATATCCTATGTTCTGATGGAGGCCGCTTGAGTTGCCTTGAGAAATATCCATCAGATTGTGCACAAGTATCCGATTAGATATCGGCCAGATTCAGTTTAAGTTACTGGAACAGATTTCCAGTCCAGATATATACCAAAGATCATGATATTGTATTATTATTGTTGTGTACTTTAGTATGGGTGTTTTTCGGGGCACAAGAGGATCAGTACTCACCCCCATTGTGTTTTTCAGGTAACAGGGTCGGGACGGAGGTGTGAGCTGAGCAGTGGTGGTGGTGGTCGTGCACTCATTTCAAGTTGACATTTATTAAGTATTTGATCTGTCTGTATAATAAACCACGTTTTTAAGTATTGCCGCTATGCACATTAAGTATTGAACTTGCATTTCAGATTTCAAGTTTTTACCATTTCGAGAAGCATGAATATGGTACAGTTAAATGCAAGTTTAAAGGAAATCTTTATGTCTAAAAAAGTATTAGACAAAAGTTTAAAGATAAATAGATTTTCAAGAAGATGAGTTTGAGTAGCATCCTGAGTTAGTCGCAAAAGATTTCGAAAGATTTATAAGTATTTTCGAAGTAAAAGTTGCGAAAAATTTACTCTGATGAACGGGGTGTTACACATTAGTTTGTATAAGATTTAGAATGTGTTTAATTAAGTTCAATTGCAAATTTGTCATGAACTAAACACACTAATGAAAAACACTACTAATACACTTCATCTCATTAAACACTTCACCTCATAGAATCATCATACATGACTATTCCAAATTCTACATATATGTTTTAACTTCCATTATTTTTCATCCAAATCACGCGTGAACGATCCACATGTCATGGTAGACAAGAAGGATTAGAGAAATCACGATTTTTAAAATAGTACTTATTTTAGCCAAAATAGTACGTCTTCTTCTACGTGGTACCTGTTTTTTATCCATTAGTACCTAGTTTTGTTAACGAAAATTTATTTGGTCAACATTTATAAGAAGTTGTACTAGACATAGAGTAAGATAGTACCAGTATTATTTTGTTGTAGTACCTGATATTGGGTCTTTAGTACCACTTATAATGAACAAATAAAAACACTGAATTTCAGTTTCAAATGATGTTTATATGACCCATAATCACACTCACATTAATTTATATGATATTTAAAATGTTTTTAGTTGAGTTTATTCGCAAATTGGTTATGAACTAAACACACTAATGAGAAAACACTACTAATACATTTCATTTTATTTAATGACACACTTCATCTCATAGAACCATCATACATGACTACTCCAAATTCTACCTATATGTTTTAACTTCCATTATTTTTCATCCAAATCACGTGTGAACGATCTACGTGTCATGGTAGACATGAAGAATTGGAGAAATCACAATTCTTAAAATAGCACATGTTTTAGCCAAAATAGTACCACATCTTCTTCTTCGTGGTACCTGTTTTTTATCGATTAGTACCTACTTTTGTGAACGAAAATGGATTATTTCAATTTTGGTCAATATTTACAAAAAGTAGTACCAGACATAGAGTTAGATAGTACCAGTTTTGTATTGTTGTAGTACCTGGTATTGGCACTCAGTACCACTTGTAATGAACACATAAAAACACCTAATTTCGGTCTCAAATAATGTTTTATATGACCCATAATCACTCTCACATTAGTTTATATGAGATTTAAAATGTGTTTAATTGAGTTTAATCGTAAAATAGTCATGAACTCGACACACTAATGAAAAAACACTACTAATACACTTCATTTCATTGAATGACACCCTTTATCATTTAATTCATATAATAATTGTTATGTATTCTTTTATTTTTACATCAATATAACTTTTTTATTTTTATTTTATTTTTTGTACATTATATCTCAAAATAATCATATTTTAACGATCTTCGATTGACATCCATATTGCATATATAAAATAAAAATAATTACATCTGTCATTATAAATAAAACTATATTTATCAAAAAACTAATTTCGAAAATATGAATACAACATAAATTATGTTATAACAAATATAATAAAAATATAATTCAGTAATATTATACTTATTATTCACATATATTTTTAAATATATGATAAATATGTTACCAGAATATTTATTTATGGATCCACATTGTATTCAAATTGAATTTTTGAATAAAATTTTTTAAAATGACACTTATTTTGAAATGGAATAATGTAACTTATTATCAGTTATGTACACCGTACGAGTTGTGTACTAATTTTAAATAGACATATTTTATATAATTTTGCACAATTAAAATGGTAGTTTAGTACCCATTATCGCGTCTTCAGTACCAATTCCAATGAACATAAAAGAAAATCGAATTTCGGTCTTAAATGATGTTTATATTACTCAAAATCACTTATACATTATTTTCTATGAGTATTTGAATGTGTTTGATTAAGTTTACTCGACAAGTGGTCATGAACTCAATAGAGCTTTAATTTTAAAATTTATAAATATTTTGATTTTATTTTTAGGTAATTTTCATTTTATGAAAACAAAATTGTCTTTTAATTTCAATATAAATAAAAATCATCCCTTAATATATCCACAACTCTATATTTATTGCAATTCAAATCACTTAAGCGACACATTCCATATATGAAACTGATAAACATGATATATCACGCATTAAGTTAGTTGATATCCTATCATAATATTTATTTATTTTCTTTTAAAACAATAAATGATGTGCTTAATTTTCAATAAATAAATATTTAAAATTGTAGTCCTTCTTTATGCACGGGGTTTCACAATAAATAATATAATCTTGCCTTAACGGTCATTTATATTGAAATTATATTCCATTTAGTGTTTTAAAATGTTTATAACATAAGTCGTCGCGTTTTGGCTCTTATACTACGCAGATTAAATAGAAATTCGTGTTGCGTTAGCTAGAGTATAAAATATTGTTTGTTAGAACTATCAAATATTTGTATATAATAAAATTGGATTGTTAATTTAAAAAAAAAAAATTATTTTAATAATATTATATGACACTAAATTTAAGAATAAGATAATAGTTGAGTATTATGATTAATAAATTGAGTGCGTTTTTATTTTGCCATGAAATGTCCAAATTTAAATGATATGAGTTTCATATGGTATGGATAGAAGTGTATTTAATTTTGAAAATAAAATAAGTGGTATGAATTTTATTTGGTATGAGTATGAAAGTCGAATTTTAGATCGATTTATTATAAAATTAAGGTAATATAATTCTAAATTTTTAGCATATCCCTATAATAACTTGTCATAAGATATTATTGATAATTTTATAAATCGCCCCTATATATAATTTCCGAATGCCATGAGCCTAAGTGGCAGTCATATGCTTCAGAAGTTTATTTAGCATAAATATATGTTTTGTATTGACACATGTACATGTTCCGTTTTAGGCTTGAGATTTACCATAAACTATTTTAGGCTTTTTTTCTCAAGTTACCATATACTACTCTTACTCTTTCTTATTTAACTCATATAATAATTGTTATAATAAATATGTATTCTTTTTATTTTTAAATCTTTATAATTTTTTATTTTATTTTATTTTTTGTATGTTATATCTCAAAATAATCATATTTTAATGATCTTCGATTTGACATCTATATTGCATAAATAAAATAAAAAATAATTACATATCTCATTATAAATAAAACTATATTTATTAAAAAATAATTTAAAAAATATGAATAGAACATAAATTATTTTATAACGAATATAATAAAATCTAATTTCGTAATACACCATAAAATAATCACTTTAATGCGTTTGTCATAGACTTAAATATATTAAAAAAATTAAGTGCAAAAATACGGACCCCATTTTGAATTAATTATTACTTTGTTAGTTATTCATTATTTTTTATATTCATATTACATAATTTTACAATATAAAAATAAATTATTTTAGTTTTTCTATCGTACAAATATTAATATATTTACGTAGCCGTATAGTACACGGTTATCATACTAGTTGATATATATTCTTCTTGAAAATTAGATAGATCTTTGAATAAATATTTTTTTAATAAATTTAAAATTTATAATTTAATTTTAGAGAATTATTTGATAAATTTGAACGACAAAAATATAGATTTATAGATTTAGTATAATACATATATATATATATATATATGTATACGAAATAAAGATTAGTAAAATATAAATTTTTTTGATTTTGATATTTTATTCAGAAATAAATCTATATTAATTAATAAAAAATTAAGAAAAAATANTGGAAGTTTGAAAAAGAATTGAGAATTTTTAAAGAAGTGTCCCTTGTTTTTATATTACATTAAAGACGAAAGATGATAATATGCTATAGTGGAGATGCTGAACTACGAGGGAGTACAAGAAGTTTCTTGAATGATTGTTTTTATACTACATTAAAAAAGGGCCAAAATGTTGATAAACGGATTAACCAACGTAATTAAGGTTGTAAACAATAACAGGAATCGCAGAAAGTTGGATATTTATTGAGTTTATTGAAGTCAGTTTTCTAGTACAAGAGGTCAATCTCCGAGAAAACCAAAGTATTGAATGCTCGAATTTAATGTGTCGGGATCGAATCCACGTATTGAATTAAATGTGTCTATTTATAGTAACATTTCGCACGCCCCTATGATGTCAACTCACATTAAATGCGCCGTATATACTACATTAAAGACGAAAGATGATAATATGCTATAGTGGAGATGCTGAAACTGCGAGGGAATACAAGAAGTTTCTTGAATGAATATACCTAACAGTTCAAAACCAAACCATGATGAAGTACTACAATTTTCTTGAATGAATATACCAACAGTTGCAAAACCAAACCGGAACCACGAACGACAGTTCATAAAGCGGCTACAATCTTTCAGTTCTTTCAGCTTTCAAACCCAACAGTTGCCAAACTGTGAACATCCACAGTATGAAGGATGTTAGTTCTTATGTAAAGCCGTTTTCCAAACTCAACTCAGGAAAACTAAAATAAACGGCAGATAGAAAACATTTCGTGACATGAGACGAATCAAATTTGCAGTTTTTTTAATTTGCTACTCTTTCCAAGTGAGAGACATTGGATTTTGATACGCCTTAAAACTATAATAATAATAATAATAATAATAATAATAATAATAATAATAATAATAATAAGGTTTTTTATCTTATAAATGTTCTATCCGCTGTATAGACCAAATTGGCAAATCATGTCCAATACTTCATTATTGATTAGCACTGTGAAAAAATAGTCCAGAACCCCAAACAACAGAATCCTAAACTGGCAAACGGTTATCTTTATGAAATGGAAGTCAAAATATATCTCTTTGGACAAAAGAACGCAAACGGTACCAAACAGCAAAAGAAGGCCGCCAGAGATCATCGAGAATCACATAATCTCTTTCTATCGGTAGGAATCTGGGCGCTTAGGTTTGTTTTGAACAACAGCCTCGATTTTCTCCATCACATCAGGTGTCAACAATGGAATAACATTTATAGCCTTCATGTTCTCTTGAATCTGCATTTCCATCAAAATAAGGATATTATGTGAAGATGCCGTATGAATGGCAACAAGTTTTTTCAAGAATAACAAGATCAACTGATCAAGTATGCATAGGACAATTGGTGATAACACTAAGATTCATTGCTTGAAATTCATGAACTTAAAAGCTAAAAATACTCTTCCTGGACTTCTTGGACACTAGCAGAAGGAGATGTTTACGCCTAACATTCATAAACTACTAACGAAAGCAGATATTTATTCCTGACATTCAAAAATTATTAATACACCTAGAGGCTGAAAGCCTTTTTATCTTTTTTGTCCCTTTTATTTTAGGATTCTCAAACACTATGCAAGGAGGATTTTGATTCTGGAAATTCCTATACATATATGTAGATGAGAATTTCCATGATATAGATGAAGCAGCAACTACCAGTCTACAACCTATTCACACATAATACACAAACAATACATCCATTTGAGTTGAACATGCAGACCATAAATGCATCAATAAGTATTGTATAGTTCACAAAGAGATTTCTATAAAAATAAAAAACCAACGAGGTCTAGCTGAACCATGACACAAAACTGTTTAAATTGCCATGTCACAGAAATCGGTATTCTCACTCTGGACAATTAATTGTAAATTAAGGGTCTAGAGTTTCATTTAATACAATCATCATCTTGTCAATACTAATGATCCATTATATGGTTTCTAAACAACATAATAAGAGGATTTGATAGGTCAAACTCTACCGCCTTGAACGTCTAATTTCACCTCAAGCCTCTTTAGCTACGTTTCAGCCGAAGCAAAATAAGGTAATCTGGAAAGTGAAAGTTATAATTTGGCGAGAAAAGAATAAATGATTAGTGTTAAGCGGATCAATCCTAATATATCTTAAAAAATATACATAATAACCTCTAGTTCTACATATTATGCTGTCATCATTAATAATCTATCATATCTTTCAATACGAAAGTTGCTTAAAACATTCCAACAACCAACGTATGCATAAAAAAATTTGGCAAAATGTTCTGCCAAAGGAAGTACAAAAGAATCAAGAAAATAATATGTTGAGCTAAAAAAAATTTTGTGCAAACGAAAACGAAAAGATCAATACAAGAGAAAAGAGATGTTCTTAACGTTCACTAAAAATAAAAAACATTTCCCCAACCAAAATGTAAATTTTATCCAAGACCAGCTTGTACAATAAGAAAATACAAAAATATGAATAAAAAACAAATAACGAAATGTGCTCGAGAGCAGATTTATTCATTATCTATATACATGTTTGGGAGAAAAGAAAAACCAAACAGTTTGATGTGCTTAGAGAAATAAAAAAAAAAAAAAGAAAGACAACAGATACATTTGGCCATCAGGAATTTCTAGTCCTCAATTTTCTCCACTGAATGGGATAATTTCCAGATCGGCAGTTGTTTTATGCCAACTAGTGGTGTCCAGTGAGAGAGTGTGAGTGCACATAAGTAAATATAGTTATTAAAGGCAAATAACAAGCCATGTCGATTAGCTCACGGCCTAGCCTCGAGGCCTGAGGCGCCATGGTGCCACCTTGTGAACAGGCCACCACAGTTGGGAAAAACAAAACAAAATAAATGACACACTGCATAATTAAGTGCAGATTGCAAAATCATCTTCACAAATCCCAACACCACACAACTACAAAAGCCATTAACATTTAGCACCGGCAAAAGATGACAATGGAACAAGAGTCAACAACCAAAAATAGTTATCAAGGAGAACAAACACACAAACGAAGTTCATCAAAATTAAAGTGGTTAGGCCGGTTAGCCATGATTTATGCTTTTGAGTTCTCTGCTAGTGCGCTGGGCGTGCTTATGATGTGGGAGACGTAGATTTTATTTTTACAGAACATCTTAAAAGTGTTAAAGGTAACAACTCTATTTTTATAATAGTCCAAGGTTTCTAGGTTTAGTTAGCCAAGGCACAATGTTGTGATAAAAATCGTTTTACCAACTCTGTAAGTTTGGTGATGGCCTCCTCCGAGCACCTCTGAAACCCTTCTCCATGGCTTCAACTCACAATTCTTTAACACCTCATTCGTAGTGGGCAGGTTGGACCAATTGATAGGAGTAAAGGGTCGATGCAAAAGAATCTAAATATTATTATGTAGAAAAGTAAAGACAAGAACACGAGGTTCTCCTCCAGAAATAATATTATTTCTCTAAATGCCAATCTTCACTTCCTCACTCCCTTTTATAAGCACATTGTTTATTTAAGGTAATGGGATAACAAAGAGTACATAAGATAACGATTTGATAGCATTCCATGCCAAGCAGGTTGCACGATTTGAGCCAATCACAAGATTTGTATTCCAATATTGCGTTACTTATTTTATTCCATTCCTGCTTTCCCTTACCATGGTTTACTTTCCCAATCTCTGATTATCAAGTAACAGGCCATGGCAAGCCAACTGCCATATATATATGGCGGAAATTGGCTGAATCCATGGCAAAGCCACAACTATATATTTTATATATTTCTATACACACAATGTATATATATACATAAATAAATAAATAAATATATACATACACATATATATTATATATATAATGGGTCGCGCTCACACGAGAATGGTGCTCAGTGAAAGAAATAAGAATACATCATGACCGTTAGATCGTATGATCTAATGGTAACAAAAATCCAGCATTTATTTAGTCATTAAGGGTATATTAGACATTTTTAATTATAAAATTATAGGACCCATGACAACTAACATTCAACACACCAATGATTTAATGTCATGTGGCAACTACACATCACACCATACCTACCCTCTCTCTCACACACACCACTGCACACACACTGAGACACACACATTACACGCACGCACGGTACACACACAATACACACACTCGCCGGAAAAACAAACACTCGCCGGCGGAACTTCATCCATCCATAGTCGCCGCCGCCATCACGACTCCGCATCTGTCACGACTCCGCCGCCACCGCGCCGCGCCACGCCACCGCCGGACCTCTGCAAATTCCGTCATTTTCTCCGTCGTCGGACCTCTGCAAATTCCGTCGTTTTCTCCGCTCGCGCAGCACATCACACACTCAGTCGACCGTCCATACCTGTGCTTGTCGCCTCCGGCCGTGACCAACAGATCTCGACCGCCGTCCGCCACTCGCCGCGATCGGCACTAATTGGCCTCCTGCAGTAGGTCGTCGGAGTTAAGAATGGAGGCAACCAGTCGAACTCCATGTCGTTTTGGTTCTGGGCGGATGATAAGTGGCCGGTGCCGTCGCCGGAGACGGCTGAACATCGGTTGGGAGCTGGGGACTTCAATTGGGAAATTTGATTATTCCCAAGGACTGATTTCTAATTTGTAGAATTTTAGATATTTACAGGGGTCAATCTGTAATTTCGAGAATATTTACCTATATTACTAATTAGCCCATGGGTCAAACCTGCAATTTACAAAAAATATATAACAACATATTATTTTGTATATATTTTTTTATTCATATATTATTTATGTATTTAAAAAAAATAATACAAAGTATTAAATATAACTATTGAAATATAAAATATATTTTGATAATATAAATAATAAACTAATTTTACAACCAAATAACTACATTATTTTATTTCACATAAAAAAAATATATCGCGCTGCATAATACACAATATAGTAATTAAGATGCACACTAATGAATATCAGACTGCACGATAATGATATATCAAATGCACAATAATTATAACTGTGTATTTCGCACACCCAAATCGTGTGATAAAAAAAATAATATTGTTGTGCTAGTGTGCATTTTTCACAGATATGAAGTTCATTTGTTGTCTTCATTTAAAAAATAAAATAAAAATAAATTTATAAAAAATAAAATATGAGAACCGACTAGATTATATAAAAATATTATTAATTATATTTTAACTATATAGGTGTATCATTTATTTTCAACAAACAATGATATAAAATACTAAATAGAAATTATAATAATAAAAATATTTTTTATTATATAAACAATATGATAGAATCAAAATAATGTTGATTGAAATACACACTATCAATGCTTTCTAAAACTGTGAATGCACACATAAAATAATCGCTCAATATACTGCACAATAATACTAAAAGTAATGCACGCCAATGTAAGACGGACTGCACATTAGTGAACAGAAATATAAAGCTTCAAAGCGAACTATACTAATTGTTATTGATATTATTATTATTATTATTATTATTATTATTATTATTATTATTATTATTGTTATTGTTATTGTTATTGTTATTGTTATTGTTATTATTATTGTTATCATTATTATAAGGATTGCACATTAAGGAACGCACAACAATGTTTAAGTGCACAATATTGTTAGACAATTTGCACATAAATGACAATTAGATTGCACATTTGCGATCGAAACATTGCACATTTGCGATCAAAACCGTCCAAACATAAAAATCTATGATTCCAAATTTTATATTATTGCAGATTATATATTTTTTATTTTAATTTCAAAATACTAACTAATATATTATAAATAAACATAATAATTTAATGCGGATATTTTGGTTAAATCGTTTAACTGGCCGAAATGACTATCATATTGCATATTAGTGATTGCACGAATGCACATTAGCATAATCTAGAAAAAAAAAATGACTATATCAAGTAAATTGCAACAAAGTCCCTAATACTTGTTTAATTTCCAAAAAATAAGTCCATAAACAAAAAAAAAAAAATCAATATGTATTCAATTATCTCACACACACACGCACTGTTCAGCCTCCTCTCCTCCGCCGTCAGCGCCCCGCCGACAGCCGCCCGATGCCGTCCCCGAACCGCCGTCATTCACCCGCCGCCGCCTGCATCCCAGCCGTCGCACCCATCTCCGTGCAGTCGCCGCCGTCGCCTGTCGTCTCCCCATCTCCGGCGGATCTCATCGCTGCTAAAACTTCGCCGGCGCCGAGACATACGCAATAGATTTCCCATCGGTTGCCCCGTGGCCGACGTTCCGGCTCCGTAACCCACGGGTTCTCCTCCGTCCAAGTCCACGAGTTATCTCAATGGATCGCCGGCGGCGAGCAATCTCAACGGAGCACCGGAGGTGATAGCGGCTGCGGGATATGGAGGCTGCAACTGGCTGCCGGAGATGATGGCGGCGGCGGGATATGGTGTCGGCGACGGGAGACTCGCCTGAGTTCGAAGTGGCCGGCGTCCATTGTGTGTTTCTGTGTGTATGGTTTGAGCAGGTGAGGGTGAGATCTACTATGTGTGAATGTGTGAGAGAGAGATAAATTAGGTTGGTGGTTTGTGGTGGGTCCCACATTAATGAGTTGGATTAATTTACATTTTCTAAAATACCCCCAATAATTAGTCAAATATATATATTTGACCACAATTTGTATGTTAATTTACCATACTGCCATTAATGATTGACCAATGTTTGACTTGATCATGACCATTGGTATGATGTATCCAATGGTCCAGGTTCATTCTTATTTCTTTCACTATCTACCATTCTCACTTGATCCCAACTCTATATATAATTAACACCACACCACCTTCAAACATGTCAATAAATTTTGAAGGAAAGCCCTAGTTTCACAAGATACCAATTTTCAATCATCATAAAACAAAATACTAGGTCTTTTAACTTTTCTTTTAATTACAAAACTGAAAAAGAACACAACAGGTGCTCATTGTCCATCCAACTCACCACTTTTAGCATTTCTTGATTAAAAGAACACGCTAGATTCTCACTAGCTTTCCCAATTCAGACTAGTTAACTTCTTTTATTAAAAAAAATTAAAATCCACACATGATTATTGTCCACAAAAATTTAGTCTTTCTAACTTTTTAAACTAAGAGAACAGAGTATACCAGTCTTATTATATATTCAAAAAAGAATGAAAACAAAGATCAAGAACATATCCATAGTTCCATACTCTCATGAAACGGAAATCAAACAAAAAGGAACAAATAAAGAAACTTACAAAGGTTACTGTCGCCGGAGGGAAGTCTCTTTGTCGGAGGGAGGGTTGATCTTCTCTGCCCTCAATTGAAGAAACAATTTTTTTTTTTTTTTTTTTTTGTTTTAAATANNNNATACTTGTTCCTTATCTCCTATTCTATTCTTTTTTTATTTTATTTTTTTCATCCTCTAAAGTTTGAGTAATTAAGGGCAATTAGGGCAGCCCAACTGTTTTCAGTTTTAATTGAAAACTACCATCACTCTCAAGAATTCCAAAATGAAATTGCAATAGGGATACGCGTATATAAGGATAATGGATATAACAATCCTCATAAAAGAAATCCCAGAATTCAAAAGAAAAGCAAAGGCACATAGTGCTAACCTGGTATTCTTTGGTGGCACCTGTAATAACAGATGAAACATTCGGATTTGATGCACACCAAGCAATTGCAAGCTGAGATAGAGGCACGCTCAGCTCGTCTGCAATTGGTTTTAGCCCATTCACTTTCTTCAGCACATCATCTACCAATGATCTGCTAGCAAGATTCTGCACAAAGTGTACTAATAATATTGTAGCGAAGAAAAAAAAAAAAGGCGCAATTACATAGAACTGAAGCACCTGCAAAGCCACGTGAGTAAAGCTAAAGAATAGAACAGATTATAACAGCATTCAGTGCAAAGGGTTGACACTGAAGTTCCACTGAAACATGATCTAACATGTACGAGAATAAAGAGGAAGGTAATTACACAAAATTACCAATGTGCCTCTAAGCACACTAATGTTGTGATGCAGTGCACATTTGGTCCAAATTAATCTTGCTCTTTATGCATTTGCAAGAGATAATAAACATCTGTGCCTCTCATTAAAGTAAATAATGGCAATGCATCAATTTTATCAATTAGCATTCTCTTCAAGATCACTTCTCAAACATATTTTTCTACTTGTGATGCATTTGTTTCAAACATTACCATACCTATACCATGACTGAATCACAGAACTATTGTAACATATAAAGGAAGTAGGTATTGCAATTATGTATTATCAACACAATGTTTTGCTTTTATTCATACCTTATAATTTTCTAAGGCAAACCTACTATCGGGTGGAATATTTCCTGAGTTGTACTTCCCTGTAAGAACTCCAGATGCAAGCGGACTCCATGTGGTGAGGCCAAGACCATAATTATTGTACAAAGGAACGTACTCAGACTCAACCTGCATCATTTCAAAACAAACAGAACAACACATATCTTAGGAGAAAAAACACATATCTTAGGAGAAAATTGAGTGCAATGCCTTCACAAACTCCAAAGATTTAGCAAGCAGAATTCACTAATAACTAAAGGCTTGCAAAAGAATAGCCAAATCCAAAATCTCAATAATAAAACAATTACATAAACTATTAAAACTATTATAGAAAGGTAATATCGTAGCAAATCATGTGGCTTTAACAGCAGGAAGCTTCCACAAAAAAACCTTATACAACATCTGAGAATCAATATCACAAATACAAAGAGCCCCAGTTCTTTGCACAACACCCGAATCTCACACACACGAACCATAATCACATATCACTTCNCAGAGAGAGGTTAGAAGGGAAAAAGAAAATGAAATCAAAGTTTAGCAATTCCATTCTCACCACTCCAAATCCATTTACCTTATGCCTTGATATCAGATTATACTCAGGCTGCTCAACGATTGGGCCCACGAGATCTAGCCTCTCAGCCACGCCCCAGGCCTCCGTAATCTGCTGGGCGGACCATTCGCTGGTCCCCCAATAGTAGGCCCACCCCTTGTCGATCACATAGTTCATGGCCCTCACCGTCTCCTCGATCGGGGTTCCGATGTCGGGCCGGTGGCAATAGAGCACGTCCACGTACTCCATATCTAGCCTTTTCAGACAGTTCCTGGTCCCCTCCACTATGTGCTTCCTGGAGAGGCCCTTGTCGTTCGGGCCGGGACCGCCCCAGAAGATCTTGGTGGAGACAACGATGTCCGATCGCTTCCAACCCAGCTCCTTCATGGCCTGGCCCATGATCTCCTCGGCCCGCCCGTTGGCGTAGACCTCGGCGTTGTCGAAGAAGTTGACGCCGTGGTCGCGGCAGCATTGGAGGATGGATTTGGCCTCCTTCACGTCGAGCTGGTTGCCGAAGGTGACCCAAGCACCGAACGAAAGCTGGGAAACCTTGAGGCCCGACCGACCCAGGTTCTTGTACTGCATGGTCTGGTCCGGGATTTTAATCGAATTGCAGTGGTTGAGTTGTATATGGAAGAAAGAGGGATAGATTTTTATGGGGAAGAGAAGAGGGTTTGAGACTTGAGAGTGAAATGAAACTCTATTCAATTATTTTTTTAAAAATAAAAAATAATACTTTTTTAAAGTGAGTGTTAACATGTTGACACGTATCTTTTTATTTAATTGAATTGAATAATTAAAATATACAAATTTTATTTAATTATAAATGTCCTTACTTAAGATATTTAGATAAATTTAATATTATAAATTATGTTTTATTTTATTTAAAATGTGTTGAATTATTTATATACTACATTGAAAGTTCAGAAACCAAACGGCACACGTGGAGGATGAGATGAACTCAAAATATCAAGTTATTGTTGGCCATAAAAAAAAATAAATAAATAAATAAATAAAAGAGAGTTCACCAAAAATTTGGGCTGAGTCACTGAATATTGTCGGTTGAATCCTTCATCTCGTTGTCGAGCATTGTTGAAAATTTGATAACTTCTATAGAATTTTGTCGACTATTAGAAGACCAGATCGACAATCGAGACATACCGTTCGATTCTTCACGAAAAGAGTTTTCTCTATATATATGTTTTACAAAAAATCAAATGCACGGATATTCGGTGAAATTCCAACATACTCTATTGTTGCAATTCTCTAATTTATTCATCACTGGTACACAGGCAACGAACGATGACTGACGTTAGACATGTCTACGGGTCGGTTCAGGTTCAGGTTCAGGTTCATACTGGAACTGGCCCATTTAATTAATATTCTTATTATTTTTCAAAATTTCAGATTTTATAAAAAAAAAAAAAATGAATTTTTTTCCAGTTCTGTATCGGGCCCTAAACTGGAACTGTAAAATCTGTACTATTGAATCGTTTTGACATTTGGAGATCCAATGGCCCTTTTTTCAAAAAAAATGAATGATACGGTTCCGAGTTGGGCCAATTCGGAACTTAAACCAGACCCAGGACAGTGTGATCCAACGATCATAATTTTAAAATTGAGCATTGGATCAATTTAACCGTTAGAACCCAATAGTCAGATTTAATTTGGTTTGACTCTGATTCGACGGTTCATGAATCAAAAAATAAATTTGATAACTTTTGTATAAACACACCCCCCATGATGCCGATGATGTACCTAAACATTTCGTGTCTTCCCAAAGACATGGAGCCCGGGGATGTTCAATGCATCTTTCATAAATCCACGAGAGCTTACAATTTGAGGACACGAACATGGATCTGGGTGACAATTACGATTCTACTCAAGGTCAACCTCAATGGACGACCGTCGACACTGGACATGGGGCTAGGGGTCGACATTTGACATCAGATATATTCACGAGGAATTTCACAAAGGTATCCGATACGAAAAAATGATGAACATTTTATATGTATTTGCAACCACTGTCCGCCCAACATCAAGAAGTTATATGCTTTCAAAACCGACAATGGGTACAAACCATGCAACAAACATACGGACCTATCATCCGACCGATAATGGGGATTTCCACGACCCAACGCAAATCCCGAGAAGTAGTACTGCATCTTCAATCGGAACAACTTCTTTTTCTTCTTCTTTATTTCAACAATCTCATGAAACCATAGACGTAATGTAGTTGAATTTTGTTTCTATTCATCTCTTCCTTTCAGTTTTGGTGATTTTAACTTGTATGAATTTTTTTCTCAAATGGCTTCAAACTCGGCTGCATCTCAGGTTTCACATACTACTCTCACTCCCGATATTTGAAATATAGTGGGTGGGAAATAGTTAACTTTGGTGCAAAATTTTAAAAATTTGAACCAAAGAGTTTCAATTTGTTGTGGTACTTGGTCCGATTATTGGCAAGATACTCGTTATATGAGAAGTACTTGTCATTATGTAGATGATAGTTTTTCATTACAAAAATTTTCAATTGATTACACGAGATTTAATAACTCACACACTGCTGCTAATATCTCTCGTTTGCATGTGTTTTGGATACTTATAGAATTAGTCAAAAAGTTTTTCTCATTTCTTTTTATAATGCTAGTGTTGATACTGTTTCTTTGACTGAGCATAGAGAAATTTGTCGCCCCCTTGTGGTGGAAATTTTATCCTATTTGTTGTATGTGTCACACACTGCTGCTAATATCTCTCGTTTGCATGTGTTTTGGATACTTATAGAATTAGTCAAAAAGTTTTTCTCATTTCTTTTTATAATGCTAGTGTTAATACTGTTTCTTTGACTGAGCATAGAGAAATTTGTCGCCCCCTTGTGGTGGAAATTTTATCCTATTTGTTGTATGTGTGATGTCCTTAATCTTTGTGTTCAATCGAGTTATAATGCTTTGAAAGAGTCGGTCACGTTCATTAGGGATATCGTTATATACTTGCACTGTCGTCCTCAACAAATAAAAAAATGGGGAGGACATTGTAAAGCTAATGATGTTGTACCCAAGAAATTCCAACTGGAAATTCCTACCCGATGGAACACAATTTTTAAAATGTTGACAAGAACTTGTGAATTTTCCCATTAATTACTGACTTTTTTCAAGAGTCCTGAACGTCATGATTGCAATATCACCCTTACTTCAGACAATTGGGATAATGTAAACACTTATAGAATTTTTGGGATAATATCAAATTGTTACTAACGTACTTTCTGTTGTTGACTATCATACTGCTGAACTTGTGTTATTTCAATGTGTAGCCGCAATGTGGGGATTTGAGAGATATTTAATCGTAATCCTTAAAAACATGGTGAGCTTATAAAATATATGTTTAGAAAATGGTTAAAATATTATTTTTACATTTTCAATACATTTTTAGTTTCCACTTTATTAGATTCGTTACTATGTGAGGATGGCTTGCTCAGCCAACTTCACCCTTATTATGTAATTATGTATTAACTCCCACTTCCACATAATGTTATTCCTGTCACTGGACGACCTAACCCGCGGCTGCTCGTTGAATAAGCAAACGTTTTATTGTATGAATTGTTTAACGAAACAACAATCAGACTCGAGAAAAATCCAACGACATTTTCTTCTCATGCTTGCGGATCTTCTTCTCATTCCTATTATCCTCAACCGACGGCAGAACTAGGCTCAAACTTTGATGATTGGGCTTTAACTAAGATTGCAAGAAATATGGGGACGGGTGTGGTGAACTCGATCATTTCTTGACATCAGATCTCAGATTTACGATTTCCAGACCACCAGTTCTGTCACTCACATTCGGTGTCTTGGATTGTTGGTAAAGAAAATGAAGACCAGACATCTTGTTCCATGCTTGATGGCCAATGAGATTTTTGTTGTCTCGGCCTCAACTATGGCGATTGAATAAGCATTTAGAGAGAGGGGATATAACAATCGAGGTTGACGCCACAAAACTTGGAGACTCAAATGTCGCTGAGTGATTAGAAGAAGGTAGAACAAAGGGCACAAATGACCATGCTAACCAGCATAGAGGATGACGAAGAAACTGATGATTTTACTAGTCGAATGGAACCGACAAAAATATCGTAGATGACGACTATGACTACGACTAATAGATCGTTCAAAGGATCCCTGTCAGTGCCATCTTCTTTTATCAGGCTAAATAAGATAAACGAAGTATAAGGACTTTGATTCCCAAGGTAAGGGACACATAGGCAACTTAATTGACATTTTATAAGTTCAAATATCATTTATAACAAAAGTATTTCAACTTGATTGGTATTTTAACATGTAACATGTCTACTAAGCCCAACTACATATTCATTTTAGCCCCCCACCCTCCATTTTTTTTTTTAAATACAGAACTGTTTGTGCGACCTGGTTCAACCTCGAATCGGACTGGAACTGGCAGGCTGGTTCTGAATTGGAAACTGTCAGTCCCTTGAACTAGCACGTATATATAGTCGGGCCGGTTCCAGTTCATATAAAACGCAAACTGGAACCGGCCTGCGGCCGTGTCAAACTGAGTTAGTGGCCAATGACGGCAAGTAGCAACAACATGGTTGAATCTTCTATTATGATAACACTTTAATATAGTACTTCATATTGTTTTGATTATTATTATATTTGTATACATGATATTGAAATTTAATATAATTTTTTATTTTTATGAATTAAAATAAATTATAATTAAAATTATAGTAAGAGTATAGTAGGTGTTTCACATGTACTAGGTGTACAAGGCAGTCAACATACCTTTTTCCCCCGTACATTAGATGTGTGGTTGAGATTAAAGTTTTGATCAATCTAACTATGAGATTAGGGGATACCTATTGTCACGTATGTATCAGAGGTATCTGACGCTAGAAGGTCCCAAATGACTTTGATGGATGTTTGTCTTATTTTTGTTATGTTTTTTATATTTGTTTTACATTTATTTTTCCCCTGTTTTAGGTCTTTTCGTGAGTTTTTAGTTCGTTTTGTGTTTTATTGTGTGTTTTGTTCCATTTTGGTTTTCTTTGTGTTTTTTCGTGTGTTTTTCTGGTTTTTCATGTGTAGTTTGGAAGCTTGGCAACGCATAGGAAAAAACGGAATTCAATTCCGAGTTTGGACGAGCTCAAACGAGACCAAATCGCAAAGTCGCGCAGTGCAGCCTTCGAATTCGCGAACCGCGCGTGGGATTTATCATCTTGGACCCATTTTCTCCACCTTCTCTTCCACTAATCCGAAAATCATGTAACTTTTGAGTTGAATATTCATCATGGAGTTTATCATGGAACACTTAACCTTGATTTATGCCATATTGCTTCATGATTCATTTTTAAATCCATTATTCACACTATAAATACCACCTTTCTTTACCATCTTCACATCCCTCATTTTTTCTATTTTCACAACATTCTTCTCCTTTCTTCCTCTTCTTAAACACTTAGTCTTGTTTAAGTAGTGTTTAAGAGAAGGAATTTTGGATAAGTTTATACTAGACGATTCCATTCGGCGATTTCATTTGGTGTGTACTTCTTACGATTTGGTTTGTACTTCTTTCTCAACTTCGATCAATTGTAAGTTTTCTGTATTTTACTATGAATATGGAAACTTTTGTTGAATCTTGTGTTGTGATTATGAGTACCTAATTCCCCTTGCTAGGGTTAAGGAATAAT